ATGGATGAAGAAAGAATAAACAATTAAAACAGGGACAACACAACCACATCTTTCAGCTAGCAACAGACGAGTAAACTTTCAACAGCGAGCAGCCGACTATATCCAGTAGGAGTAGAGGAGAGAAGGGGGAGAGAAGGAAAGATAAGAAACGCGAAGTGCAAGTCAGGGTGGTAGGGTTATCTTGGATTTTAAAAATTCAACCTCAGTTTTCGTCAGCAGGAGGGAAGGGTTTGACACGTTGTGTTTTGCTGTGGTCATGGCGAATGATTCTATGATTTCCCTGCCGAATCTGCTGTCATGCCCCCCCCCCCCCCCCACCCCCCCACCCCCAGGATTTTTGTGTCATCAAAGAGGGGATGACAACGCAAACAAGAACGGGCATGTATGACTATGGGATGATAAGAATCTGGAGAGGCCTTAGAAACTTCGTTGTGATGTTCGCGGAGTCTGTGATTGGTGCATCTGCCGGTCTGTCCTATGTATTGATGGCCGCAGCTTAAGGGGATGGAGTAAACTTTCTTCTCTTTGCATGAAATGAATTTCTTTTCGTGTTTGACAGTGCAGCCAATCGGATTGGCTGCACTGTTATGTGAAGAAGGAAGACCAGCGGAGCAGTACAATGGAAAGTAATGGCCGGCCGCAAGTCGGCAATCCTGGGTGAAAAGGCTCGAAAGATTGCGCCATCTATGAGCGACGGCGACAAGCGGACAACCAGCAAACACAACAACCTGGACAGCTACCGCCATCTATCAGCGACGGCGGCAACCAGAGTTTTGTGTTAACATTCTCTTGCGGGCGACACGATCCTGGGGAAACTAGCCCTTAACAGCTCCGCTGTAAAACGAAAACTAACATTCCAGTTCATTTCGTTCTGTCGCGCGCGTAGCTAACGAAAATAATTTATTCACAATCTTTTCTTGTTATTTATTTTTTCTTTTTTTAATGTGGTACAATGTTTTTCTCGCTGTCCTTGAGAAATTGCACACGCCATGAAAAAAAAAAAAACTTTGCCTACGCAGGCTGGGCCTATCGAAATCCCAGTCCACTTGGTTAGGGTTAGCGGGGACGCCGGAGAGCGTCTAGCCTCAAACCCAGTGGCTGGACTCGAAAACGGTTTATTGCCCCATAGGTCGAGTGTTTCTTTGAAAGGTGTACAGACACCCCCAAGCAAAAAGATAAAGGTTCCTATCACTCATCACACGCAGTTATCAAGAGGCGCAACTTCTTTGTTCAGTAGATAAAGCGATGGCACGCTTACGAATTTTTCTGCCGCTTTTTTATTTATAGAGGAAGCTTCGATTATTTCCCTTTCCATCTTCTCATTCTCTCTCTTAAGAAACCTTGTGCGCTCGAACATTGCATGGTTCACACCAGGATTGGGCAGAAATACTCAAAAATGTACTTGCAAATACAAATACTGGGATGCATTAACATAGTAGCTAAAATACTGATACTAATATCTGTAAAAATGTATCGTGATACGTATCGGAAATACATCTTAAATAGAGGCAAAATGTATTTGGAAATACAAATACAGGAATACATTTTAGGAGGGCAGAAATACAAATACTGAAATACTGATATTGGAATACATTCTTTGAAATTTGTTTGAGACGCCAACTAAGATGAAGCTTGAAGTTTGAAGTGGAAGTTTTTGATCCCAAAATTACTTTCCCGTAGGCTTGGCACTTTACCTTGAAGGTAGTGGTTTTGGACGACGCAAAATCTTCAATAAATTCAAAAAAACGAACAAAAAACCATCAAAGGCTGACCGCGGTCCCTTCTGACATCCTACATGTCTTTCTGACGAGGGATGCGGAAAGACTTCGACTTCTAAATAAATTCTATGTCACGCTAAATCTCATCAAAACGTCACAGCCGCCTCGGTGGCTCCAAGTCGAGAGCAAAAAAGAAAAAAAAAAAAAGGCTTTGAGGCGAGAGCGCCGGCCTACGGATCCCCATGTGGCGGGTTCGAATCCCGGCCGAGGTGTTCGCAATCTGACGGAGGCTTATTGCGGAGGAGGCGCCGTGTAACCGAGCTTTCGGTTTCACGTCAATAGTGGTCCAAATTAATCCCCAGTCCTCTGCTGGGGCGTGCCAGATGCCCGTTGTTGGTTTGGCACGTAAAACCCACAAATTTGACTTTTCATCAAAACGTCACCCTGTTCAATAAGGACGCCCCTGTCAACATTGATCGCATGATGCCGCGGTGAAATGAACTGGTATTCTTTATCTGTAGGTTTGGCAATGAACATGAAACTTGACCACGCTGCTGTATGAAAGAACAATACGTACTTTCTTTGTAGGTTACCTCGTTGAAGATCGTGCAGGCAGTGTCATTTTGATTTTTTTTTTAGAATAGTGGACCACCTGAAGCATCATGAAACACATGTCTTATCTTCTGTTAGGGTTGAAAAAACGACGTGGTGGCATTCCTCTAGTGAAGGTCCTTCCTGCCAACCCTCCGCCACCGACGCATGGATAGCAGTCCTCAAGTTTCGCCTAGCATCGTCAAAACAAAGACCTCGTGGATTGCGACCTGATACTCTCGCCACAGGTGCGAGCTCTCCAAGAAACAACGCGCTCGAGACGAGTCGCAGGTGTACGAAATCTGGGTCGGCACAGAGAGGCCACGTCTGGCCTCCTTCTTGGGTTTCGGATCACCATAGTAGCGGGTCACGGTCACGTCGGCTGGCGACGTACCCTTGAGCCGTGCAATATTACGGGCGCAGCCGCAGACGCATTCGAATATGTTTTGAACTTCACTGCATGAGTCAACCACCACCAGGCTCGTGCTGCCACGGACTATGACTCAGCTTTGCCGGCTGGTTGTACTGTGTACGCTAAAGCAAGAGAGATGCTTAGCAACGGGCATTGGATGCCAGCAAACAATGACTCAAGAAATTCCTACCTCCCTACTGTAAAGGTTCTGGGAAAGACGGCTGGTTTCTCGATTGGCCGGGTGACGGTCGTCTTGTCTGGTGGCGTGTATGCTGCTCCCTGCCCGGTCATTTTGTGTAGTTTTGTTTTTCTGACGAGGGACCATGTGGGCCTTTCCGCCGACGAGGACCCCCTTGGAAACCGTCTTTCTGCGTTTCCCCATCGGGATGACACCTCGGGAAGGGATGTTGTTTTTCTTTTGAATCTGGAGTCTTACGCATTCTACGGGGCTCCTTGGGTTTCAACCTGGGGGTTCCGGAGAGGCGCCGCTGTGTCTGCAACGAGATGCACGGACGAAGTTACGGAGCTGTCGGCTGTAGTCCGTTGGTAAGTTAACGAATAGGTTGATCCTCGCCCGAGAGTGAGGGAGTCAGCGCCTTCAAAAGACCGTGACTGGGGAAAGAGAGGCCCTTTATGGCTTGGACTTGGACTAATTGGGAGGACGGCGAATTTCCTTTGCTTCGTACATACTGTGTACAATAGCTCGTAACGTCTAAATAAACGGTTCAGACGAAGTCCTCCCGTATCTGTCGCACTCTTCTGATCATCCACCGAACAAGGCTCATCAAACGATTGGCCCCGCAAGACACCGCTGGGCAGACATCATTTATTCACCCAAGGAACGACCCTTTAGTACTACATAAGGACCTGCGGCAGACGATGTTCTGACTCCATTCCTGGCACGCCACCTGGTTTGAGTTCGCAACACTTTTCAGAAGAGAGAAGAGGACGCATAGAAAAATAGTATGGAGAATCAGAAGGAACCTTGGTCAGCATAGTAACAATGCCGCAGCATCTCCTTGACCCTGGCGCCCTCAGAAGTAAAAAAAAGAAAAAGAAAGCCGTTTACAATTCTCTGTAACGCAGGATTAGAGCGCAGCTCTTGAGGAGGAGGGTGGAAGGGTACTGAGGGATAGGTGACTCCTTGAGGTCACGTGAGCTCAGGGGGGGGGGGGGGGGGTCGTTTGACGTCAGGGGGGTCACGTGACCTCAAGGGAAGTCACGTGACCTCAGGAGGTTCCTGTGACGTCAGGGGGCTCACGTGACCTCAGGGGGCACGTGACCGCGGGGTGGGGTCACGTGACCTCGGGGGTCGTGTGACCTCAGGGGGTCACGTGACCTGGGGGATCACGTGACTTAGGAGGTCACGTGACCTTGGGGGACTGGGGGTCACGTGACCTCGCGGTTACGCCGACGGCGATGGTGACGGACGCCGACGCCGCTCTAGCCGGAAACGGGCCCCTAAGAGCTGCGCTCTAAAAAAAAGCGCTCGGACTTTTTTTTTTTTTTGTGTGGAGGGGGGGAATATTTTTTAAGAAATGTAACGAAATACATTTCATCCTGATTGTATCGCGATACAAAGAAAGATTCCAAATGTATTTTGATACAGGAATACAGATACTGATGAAAAAATGTATAGCGATACAGAAATACAGATACGAAATGTATTTCTGAAATACTATCGCGATACTGCCCAACCCTGGTTCACACCCACATCGTTTGCAGTGCTCCGCAAGATGCCCACAGACGTAAGCTTTGCACTGAAGTCAAAGTTCAGGACAACCGTGCCCCCCACCCCCTTCAAATCTAGCTGGATGGGTTCGTAAAGAGTGCACGAGCGGCATGCCGCAGCCTAGAGATTACATGCGTCAGAGGTAACGCAGGCGATGATCGCACCGGGCTCAATTTCATGAGATGTGGGATACCATTCACTCCATGTTCCCCGAAGGAGCGCTGCCAACATCCCCTAAGCAACAGAAGATAGTGCGGAAACGTCACCTAGATGAAAAAAAAACAAACAAAAAAAAACATTGATATTAAACGAAATCTGTAGGAGCATTTTTCGGACTGAGGTCCTTGATCATAGCGGCCCAATTAGAGCTTGCCGCTTTAGATGGCTTCCATTATCTCAATGTGGCCGCTCTGTGTATTATCGAATTGCTCCCCCCCCCCCCCCCCCCTCCTCTTTTCTGTTCTTTCGATAACACATACCTGCGAAGTCAAGGTGGCGCTTTAATTTTCGGGCTTGTTCGAGAAGGCTTTGCGCAACTTTCGTTATCGCTTGGGTGTACGGAGCCAGCGACAGACTGCGAACTGCGTAGTCGCGCTCGGCTGACTCCTCCAGAGCGCGGAAATGGAACACCCCGCTGGGAAAATTGTTGCTGCCATTGTACTCCTCTCGGCTCTCGTGTTTCAGCGAGGTAAGTGTCTGAATACATTTCTTCCCAATCAGGTGAGAAGTCATGCCACCGGGATGGTAAGGGACACAGTGTATCAGACCATTCCGATAGGAAGTATTCACCGGCGACCATAGCCGAGTCAGCGGCTCCTGACCACGTGCTGAAGATAGTTTCCACAGACCTCTCGCAACGCCCCTCACTGCCCGTATTGGCAGCGCATAGACCAGGAATGGCCAAGCTGCAGCTCGCGGCTCCCCCCCCCCCCCCCCCAGCCCCCCCCCCCTCCCCCCCCCCCCGCACTTCCTGAAAAAGAGAAATAGAACGCGTTTTAAATCAAAAGACAGGTTGCGGTTTGGTACTCTTGTGCTACTGCTACCTTACGCACAGTTGGACTGCTTTTCACTCGAATGGAGTAAGAGAAGTTCGGGTTTTATTCATTGTTCTAGAGCTAGACAAAAGCCCCCCCCCCCCCCCCCCCCCCCCCCGGTTCTTGGAAGTTTCGTGGTTTTGTCTGCGGCTCTTAGGCCGGGTTAGCCTGGCCACACCTGGTATAGACCAACTCATGTTTACCAACAAATCGGAGCGCCCCTACTGGATGCCACGGGCGTCGCGCATGCGCGATGAAGTGTGGGCAAGAAGCCTGCGGATACCCATAAACAAACTATTGGAATGCGACGTTGTCGGCGTTGGGGTGAGTCCCCGTGCTCTTTTTTTTGCGATGGAATTGTTGATTGTACATCTTCCCGGCGACATCTGACTATATTGAGCGGCCTCAGCGAAATTAACGAGGCTCGTTAGACCGCAAACCTTCGCGTGAATGATTTGACATGCGACGATCCCTTCTGCGTGGACGCCGCAAAACGGACGCTAAAGCCTGATTCACACAATGAAATTCCGCTCGCAAATTTCAGTCGTGACGTCGCTCGGGCTGCAAAAGCGTGAACGTAGCTGAGATGTTGACGTCGATACTGAAAATCGCAAGCAGAATCGGCTCAAGCGAATCAGGCATAACAAGTCGGTGATGGCCACTGGTAACAATAATGAACATATTATATATACTGTTTATACCGAGCCTGCTTACCCCAACTCACCTTCAAACTTCCAAGGCTTTTGAGACCTGCACTTAATTTTTATCGCGATCACCGGGCCAACGTTCGACCTACGGGCCGGTGTCGTCTGAAAGAGCGGACGACAGTTCAAACGATCAGACGGCCGTTGGAACTTGAAGACGCATTAAACGTATTCCGCAGGTGGTTCGTACAACTTGATGGTTTTCCCGCGTTCATGTTGGAACAACACAAAAAAGTCTGATGACCACAAGTATCCGTAAATTCAACCGAAAGTGCAACACAAAAAAGTCTGATGACCACATGTATCCATGAATTCAACCGAAAGTGCTTCCCGCCCAAGCAATCGTGGTCCGACGGCGTCTGGTTTTACTTTCTCACGGCAGATATCACGTTCTCGGACGAACCGAGCACGTGAAAACTTACCTTCAAACCTTTCTCGACTTTTTTGGTACAACCCCAGTCGCGGCGTTTTGACGAGGAGGCAGGCTTTTGTCTTGTTTCTTTCAAAAAATCAGGAATGCACGTCACGAATGGTGATTTCCACCCACAGCCCCAGACCGGAAGTGTGCTCGACGCGCCACCACCGCGCCGTGACGTAACATAGTTGAATTCGTGAATAAATATGAACTCGTTCTGAGACTGGGCATTAAGCAGCCCACTTAAATATGGCGTCCAGTTAATACTCCCTATAATCGCCTACTACGCGCTGCCATGGCTCTCCTGGGGAATATCAGACGCCGTGCACGCGTGCACGCGTTGAAGTGCATTGAGGACGCTACGAAAGGTGCCTTGAACCCGCGAGAATACGGCGAGCAGATCAAACTATGCACTCTAAGAGAAAAAAGGTGTCGAAAGGAGTCAAACGGCCTTTCAACACCTTTCACCATGAAAGATGGCACCCCAACCTGGCAAACCTCCTCTCTCAATTGGACAGAAAGGGCTTGTAGAGGGAGTGCAGGGGTGTCACATAATAAACCTTGGTGGTAGAGGGCATGTATTTCAGAGAGTGTCCAACCGCTTATTCAGTGTCAGGTGATTTATGGGCCGCGTTTGGAATACGAGTTGCGAGGAGGAGCCTAAAGCGTTGATCGTCTGCAAATGTCTCCGCCTTTCCGCCTGCTTTCCTTCTCGCCACGCAAAAAGGCTGCGCATGCGTACATGCGACTGATCTCCGCCGGAGGTGTCCGCCATTAAATGGACCTTTCTTCCAGTAAGCTTCTGCGCATGCGTACACTCCCGCTGTCTCCATTTTTGCAGGACACCGGGACGCGGTGCCCTGCGAAAATGGCGACAGCAACATTGTCAGCATCTATCTTCGCGCGTATATAGTCTATTGTGAAGCTTAATTTTTTAGTATCGGTAGTAAGGGGTATAAAAAGCACAATAAATCGATACAATGGCACGATGCCAATGTGTTTTGACGGGCGGAGGCATGTTGGGCAGCTCTTCTATTGTAGTTCGCAGACAATTAACTCCCCAGAGGGCACTCGTTACTTGAAAAAGGTCCATTGCAAACGTCCGTATGGTCTGCGATGGACCCTCTCTACAATCTAGGCTATTTAATCTAGCCGCCATCTTCCTAAGCATTTTTAAAACCTAAAATGGAGGCTACAAAAAAGGGACAAACCCAAGACGTCTCAAACACAGCTACTAAATTTTGTTCAGGACAATTATTTTATACCCGTAATCTCCACACCGCCCTGCAATTGCACACGGTCAAAAGGTTCGATAGACTTCACACACGACTACAAAAGGTGGTCATAGAGTTCACTGGAAACAAAAAGACCACACCCTCAGTAAATTAACGCCCACATTTCCGCTAGTCCAAATTTACACAAAGGCCAAGGTCACTTACAATTTCCGACAACACAATCAAAACGCTTTCAAGAAATAAAAAAAAAAAATTTTGCAGATTACAATTGCAAAAAGGCTTCTTTGTTACACCATCGATTGTCATTGAAGGCTGGCTTATAAAGTTTCCAACAAAAGCTATCCTTATTGTCTCACTGAGGACTCTTTTCGTGCAATCGTTTTCTTTGAATAACACAACACGGTTGTACCATCCCACTCAGCCACACAATTTCCACACTCCTCACGATGTTTAGCTAGTTCGGAGTTAGGCTCATTGCTTTTCACTGCGCTCTTGCGCTCACTCAACCAATCAATCACACACCTTTTGGTTTCCCTATATACGAAAAACCACATGTCATCGGAATATCATAAACAAAGCCTTCGTGGCAGTCAACTGATACATCTCTGGGCTTTGTCTGACAACCTACCGTAATTTCCGGGCTATATATAGTTCGCGGACTATACATGTTTAAAAGTTGAAATTACAGGATTTTTGTTTTTCGAAATCGCTGATTATGACGAGACGAGACGGATTTTGCGTATGAAAGAGCATGTTAATCACAATTTATGTATATTACATGCTTCTTTGTGAGCTGAGAAAGCAGACATTTGTCAAAGTGTGTCGTGTATGAGAAGATTTTCGTGTCGACTACTTGCTGCTTTCTTTCCTCGTTAGGCCTGCTGGCTGGCTTGCTTGGGTAGCTTGGGCCTGCTGACACGCGGGGGGTAGTATGTTTTTGGGGTGGACAGTGAAAATTCGTTCGTTTGCTGGAATTATACTCGTTGCTTGCTGCGGATGACCTTGATGCAGATGACCAGGGCCGGCTTACTAGAAACTGAAACAAAAGCCTGTCAAGCTAGGGCGCGCCAGCGCTATAAACTCCAGTTCAGATGCTCATGACCTAAATTATAAAAAAAAAAAAAAAAAAAAAACTTTTATGGTGTTTTTTTGGCGCGTGCACACATTTCACCTTCGTAATGTTCGTGCGGCTAGAGTTGGATGGATGGATGGATGAATACGGCTGAGCCCTTTGGACCGGGCGGTAGCTTATGCCACCTAGCCATTTTGTTTTACCATTTAAGCTTTGAGTATTTAAATGTGAAATCTATATTCACTCCGCAGTGCAAAGAAAGTAAGGTTATGAAACCCCCTTGTGAATAAGAAAATACCTAGTTTTCTCTCAATTTCTGCCACCATTCACTTAATTCCTGTCCGTAAACTCGCCCCACCTAGCGGAGCTCTGGAGAAGCAGTCCTATGCGCTCCTTTTGCTGGGCAGCCCAGCATTTCTATAGGGCCAGAAGAGAGGTTTGTGCACCAACAATCTCGGAGGCCACACACCAACACAACTCTCTGCTGAGGTCAAGCCAGTGCAGTGGCGCCGCTGTCGGTTCTGCGCATGCGCAAACGCTTTTTCTCACGCGAATCTATTTTCTGCGCGCGCCCAGTGCCCACACCTTTTCTGGGCAAAACGCGGGCTCGTCTGCCGGCGGTGTGTTGGGCTATAGACCCCCTTCGAAAGAAAGACGCGTAAAGTGTGCCGTGACGTTGCGGTTTTAGTCCGCCTTTGCAGAGGGATTCCACAGCTGCCAAAAAGGGTTTTTGGCAGCTGTGGAATCCCTCCGCAAAGGCGGACTAAAACCGCAACGTCACGGCACACTTTACGCGTCTGGTTTGATCACGAGACAATAACACAACCACACAAAAAGGTTCCTGTCACGGAGGAACGTGTTCATCACTGGCACCCGCCTCTCCATATTGGGGACCTTCTCATCTTTCGACAACTCTTGGGCGTCTCGCGAGCTCTGAGCAGGTACGCACAGCCACAGCATGGCTGAAGACAAGAGCGCCGGTTGGAAAATAAGCACACACAAAAAAAAATATTCGGTGAAAACTGACCATTTGGGATCATCTTCCTCTTCCATCATGAACGTCATCGGAGACGGTTGGCGCCAACTCAGCAATTGGACCCGAGCCCGGTGCCGAGTGTCTTTCGACGCGCTGATTGGACGCGACGTCCGGCCGATCGCTCACGGAGCACTCCAATCTCTTTGCTGGGTCCCGTTGAGATGACGCCGGAATTCGAGTACACAGGCTTTGATTATTGTACGTGGTGTTGCCAGAACCCGAGAATCTACAACGCCTCTCATCGTTTTTTTTTTTTTTTTTTTCCTTTTGCTTTCTTTTTCGGCATATCTATAATGTGACCTTTTTTTCTTTTAATACTATTTCAATGTTTTTGTTTTAGGTGCCTGCGAAGGTGAAAGATGTGACTCTGGCAAAGTGTATAATTGCTATAAGGATGCGATGTACAAGATACATCTGTGGAGCGATCGTTTCTCAGCTGGATCTGTCGCTCAAAACTGCGGGTAGGTATCCCTGTCACTCCTCCCAAGCAATACCCTCCGTTTCACGATAGCTTGGCTGCTGCCCCGTCGACCCAATAAGAGCGTCGGACCTGGGCACGTGACAACACCCCATAGTCGAGGCCACCGAGGCCTGGTTACCACCACAGCAACAGCATCGTCCGCGACACAAAGTAGTCCCTTAGGATTATTGTTATTGTAGTAGTGTTGGCGCAAAGTTGCCAGGTTTGGCTATTAATAGCCACATTGGGCTATTTTGTAATGCATTTGGCGTCGAAATAAGGCAGTTGGCTATGTGGATATTTTTGGGATATTTCAAATTGTAACGCGGCTATTTTTTGTTGTTGTTGTTTGCTTAATTAGAGTAAATGTACAAAATTCATTTCAGCATGGGCACAAAGCAAGAGTCCACCGTTTCAGGATTCCCGCTTTCAGAGATTTTTTTGTGTGAAGATGCGTGAACGTCGCCCGATAATATTATAGCTCCAATCAGCTACCGTCTTAGATTCAGCTCCGAAGACATCGATTTTGTAATTATTGTTGCTTATCTTATGCTCCCAAGTTCTTTCTCCTTCTTACACCGTCTGTTATCTCCCCGAGTTTTCCACCATCCTCGTACAAGAGGCACCTCTTCCAAAGAGAAAGGACACTAAAGGCAGCTCAAGACATCCAGCGAAATTTCATGCCGTCCGATAACGCGTGATGTATTGGATATAACAAAGAACGTTGTTTTGCGAAACATAGACGGTTCTTAAAGCAGAATGAGCCATAACAAAACACAACCGATGTAGAGCAATGAATAATCTGAACAAGGCCAAGTTAAGAAGCGCAGGAGCAGCCATGTTTCCGTTGCTATCCGAGCTTGCCATTGCGCTCCTGACACAGCACAAGTCGAAAGCCGCCGTGGAGAGAGTATTCAGTCACGTGTCCCTCACATAGACCTAAGGAACAAAATGTCCCTTCGGTTTCTTCAAAACATCCCCTATGTAAAGTTTGCTTTCTTTGGAAAGAACGAGTGATGTAAGGACATCCACCCCACTGAAGAATGTTTTGTCCGTTTTACCACGGAAATCATGAATGAAGCTCGTCAGCCGAGCACGAGCGAGTGCTTCATAACCATGTTACTGTAAAAACGCGTGTGAGAAATTTAGGTACTTGTTTGTGTTTGAAATTAAAGTTTGTAGTACATTTAGAGATGTGTAGATCTTGCAAACTGCTTGTTACCCTAGATATGCGGACGCCGTTCCTTTACCTTGAGCTCGTACATTCGAGCGCACGATTTTTTTGGGCTCTGTAGATATTTCAAATATGCCTACTTATGGGCTATATGAATATCTTGCAATTGGCTACTTTTGGGCTACACCTTTTGGCATTTGGCGGTTTGAGCTAGAACGTACCTGGCAAACCTGGTGTTGGCGCCAGACTTTTCTGGCCGTAACACTACACCACACGGAACAAAAACGAAAACATATTACTTTCCAACGGTACTGGACACGGATCAACACTTTTCTCGGCACAACATGGATTTTGAACGATGTCTGTTATTTTTGTTTGCTACTTTTGAGAGAGAGAGAGAGAGGTGTGGACTGGAAGTGACGTGGTTTTCTTGTGTTTTCTAATAACCTTTCAGTTGCGAGTGCGCTCCGTGTTGCCACCTTCTTCGCTTTGTCCCTGTTCTTTGGCGCTTCTATCATATCGTACTACTGAAGCTGCGGATTCAATGGGTCATGATAACAATAACACTTCTCACCGCTTCAACTGCTCAAGTGCACACCAGTGATGGCGCTCTCGCACTTGGGGACTTCAAAGAGCCCGTAGTGTGCGTTCCAGTGATCTCCCGATGATGTTTGCAGGTGGGCAAAGAATGTGTCGGCCTGCACAGAAGGCCTGGTAACTATCGGGTGCACGGATGAAGTGAAAGGTCGCATTCGCATCCTCGAGGAAGGCTTCGACAAGACACGTACTTCGCTCTGCGACCCAAATCTGTTCAAGAGTGAGTGTCATTCTTTATTAGTCTACTCATTGTGTAACTGATAAAAGCGAAGGCCGTGAACCGGCTGAGTTGAAATTCGGAGAAAAGCTCATCTACTTTTTGGCGGGTGCGGAGAAAAACTCAACTGTCTCTTAAGTTTTGACAGAGCCGAAGAAAAGCTCACCTGAATACTTTTTTTTTCTCGCAAGGTGGTTGGTTTAAGCTTATACAACTAGTGCAACTACAGACACCTTTCGCACAGGATACATTTCAAAGTTGGCCGCGTTAGTGCAGACCTCGTTCCACTCTCGTGTCGACCGTTCTTGAGTATACTCTTGCCATAATTTTATTTTGATGTAGCCGGAATAAAGCCAGTAAAAAACTTTTTTTTCGTTTTCCGATTAGAATGACAGGAAAATTATAAGTTTACCCTATTAACAGAAAAGTGAAATAAGAAGATTTAGCATAGCGTACGAAGTGTTTGCTACCACTGGGAAAGTGAATTCAATATTGGCATAAAACTCAAGGAACTACTCAAGCTGCCATTACATTGGTAATATTTTATTGGAACTATCTTTTAAAGGTGCCCCGAGGAAGTTTCTGAGATTGCTTAAATATAGCAACACCTCACTCTGCCGGCTCTAAACATCCTAGAAATCCATTAATCATAACTATGCGCGATCGATTTCCCTGTTAAAAAAAGCAATCAAAGATCGCACACACAGAGGGAGGAGCGTTGTTCCAACAACCAGGACGAGATCTGAACAATGAAAACCGCGACATTTCGTCGAGATTGCAGACGCTCCTATTACAAAATGTGTCTGGCTTTCTAGGTGATAAAAGCAAATAGGAAAAGTAAAAAAAAATTAATTTTTCGCGAAGAGGTCACATAATACTGGTATATAACCATCTCAAAAGCAACCCACTCTTGGTTTCTTGTTTTCGTGTTTTGTTTGCCAGGGAATGATGTGCCCGGTCGTCGGCTCTCGAGCTGGCGCTTGCTGGGTTTGAACGTAGTCCGGGTTGTAGCATTTGTGATATCACTCCGCGCGTGTGTATGTAGGCGTTGTAAAAGAAAGTTATAGGAAAACGTGAGAGACAGTAGTGTACGCGCGCAGCGCGCATTTGTCAGTGGCTCATCACTCCGCGGTTCCACCGGTAGGAGACACGAAAATCCTCTGCTTGCAATAGACTTCTCCCAATATCGAAGCGCCCCATCGCGGCGAAATACCACGCAGTGCACTCTGGGAACTAGTCGGCCGCTCAGTTTCGGTTTTGTTTGAGCAGCTTTATTTCATGCCACCACGCCGTGACCGAATGCGCTGCTTGCGTTTTCGATTACCTGACTTTTCGCGAATGTACCATACACTCATTCTCGAGCGATACAAAAAGAAGGCCGAAGCACTTTCCTTGGTTCCCGAAACACCGGATATTATGCGTGCGTATGCAAGCCTAGTAAGACGTGGCTTAGTCACCTCACCTCACGAGTGCATCTTTGCCAATACAAAAATGTCAGATTGGAGCGGTTCCAGTTCGGATCCGCGGGGTTCTAAACTTGTGGACAGTTCCGATGCGCGCGATTCTGGGTGTAACCAGACGGATCCAGTGAGACGCAACGCATTGGAATCGTTTGCAAAGAGGTTTGCAAAGAAAGAGGTTTGCGAATCGACACTGAATTGCTTTTTTTTCCTCTCCTTTCCCTCTCCGAGTGGAGAGAAATACGAAAGAAAATTAAAGACGTTTACAAATTTCTGTAATGCGAAACTAGAGCGCAGCTCTCGGAAAGGAGGAGAGTGTATGCCCCTCTTCCTCCCTCATTCTCTCCTCCTCCCCTCCTCTTACCCGTAAATTTAGGGGGAAAATTTCCTCACTAAATTTAACGGGTTAAGTTTCACCCCTAAATTTAGCATTGAAATTAGCGTCACGTGACCTCAACACCAATCCAATTTCCCGCTAAACTGAGCGGGGTGGTTACGCTGACAGCGACGGCGACGCCGCGAACCGCGGAAACGGGCGCCTAAGAGCTGCGCTCTAAAATAATAATTTAGATTCAGCGTACCCCCATGATACGACACCGTGGTTCTTATGACTGCCACATGCAACTGCAAATCGAGAGATAGTTTTTCTTTTCTTTTTCGGTTACGTAGCGAATTTACAGTATTACGGGAAAAGAGCGCGCGTTTTCTCTCAGCCGTGCCAAGAAAACAATATAACAAAGCACAACCTATACCCTTCTTTCAATAATAAACTTTTTGCACTCGACCTTTAAAAATCACGTGCATTTTCTCTTTTTTTTTTTTTTTTTTCAGGCTTACTTGAATGGAGCGAATGTCTCAATGAGGAGGCTTTTGAGCTGTGCCTGGACGCCTCGGATCACCGAATCAAGGAGCTCGAAGGCAGCGGAAAATTGTCCAGAAAGGACGCCGAATGCCGGTGATGGATCACTCTCGTTCACTCATTTTATTAGAATCAAAGGTGCCGCGGCATTGGACCCAATTTCGCATGGGTGCCGCCATCTTGGAACCACGTGATGCGCCCGCCTTTATACTCCGCCTTGTCGTGCAGTGCACCGCGATGTCCGCTACGAGCTACACGAGCTAATTCATAGTTCGCGTAGCTTGTCTCGTGACTGTCGCTGCCCGCGTCGCGCCGCCCAGCCGGAAGGACACCAGGTGCACATTCCGAGCTCAGGATTCACTCCGGTGGCTTCTAGTGTCCACTGAGGCCCATTGTAAAGTGAAACAAACTACAGGTTGGTTCAACTCGTCGCTTCCCTGTCCCCTCTGCGCCTTGGAGGATGCGTTGTACTCCTGCATGTTTTCCGTCGCTTTTCACACACTGGAAAGTTCCCTCCGACGCTCATATTTACTGCTTAAAAAGGCCACGAAGCGATATCGGTCTGCAATGTTCGTGACCGTTGCAGAGGCGTACTGGTCCTAGTCTGGCCCAAGTATACTCGCACAGACCACCACTGATTTAGAAGCTTCTTTGTCACGGTGAAATTGCGAGGATGAAAGGGGACTATTTATTTCTGTCTTGCCTTCGCTAAGCTTGATGACCCCATTGCGGGATCGAAACCATCCGCCTTAAGCTGGCTGGTTTCGGTTTCAACGCGGACGAGGCTGTGTTGCTGCTTTACGTCGTTTTTGCTTAAAGTTCTTAATAAAAATGTGTCCTTTGCAGCTCGCAACCATTGAAACAGTGGCACTGATCCACTTTCAGGACTACAAAGCGGTTTTGAGCCTAAATGACGGGCTATTTTTACGAAGGCCTTCGATGCATCGTTTCACCGCCTAGATGCATTTCATGCATCCAGGTAGTGAAACGACTCAACTGATACACAGAGAATATTACCGTCGTCTACGGCCGTACCCGATGGTAGTAGTTTTTATTTAACTAGTAAAGAGATGAATACATGAGTGTGAAGAGGCAGGTCGAAAGCTTGATTAGCCATGTGCTGAATCGAAAAGAACAGGGGAACTCGTATAAGTTTAATACTCACTGTTTGGTGATCGTGGACACCCAACTTTTAGTAAACTCCGCAGACTAAAGAAACTATCGTATAATGATCCGGAGAATTAAAAACAAGAAATATTTTCACGCCCTGTTTTATATATATATATATATAAAAAAAATAAGTACTCGAGAAATATTTCGATAGTTCGATCTAGGCAGAGCAAGAAATTAATTTCATTATAACTTCTCCTGAAGTATCAATTAACAGCCTTTAAAGTATTGGCTCTAGGAAATCAAATATTTTTATGGCCATTTGTGGCTGATGGAAAACGCTCAGCGCAAACTGAAAATAAAGCACTAATCGGCGAACTCCTGCCAGAAACAAAAGAAAGAACGAGAATCGAGGTAACAGAAGCAAGCGTCGATGTAGCGGAGTGACAGCTGGCTTCAGCAAGACTGTTTCGGCAAGGCCATGCAGTCTCCTTGTCTAATATAAGCTGTATCTTGAATATTCGGCCTAGAATGTTCGAGCATCCAACCCTGCGGAGACTGACTCGGCGTGGTCATGTTGGCCATCTATCTATTCCACTCGGTATAAAGGCCGGTTCAGACACTTGCGTTTGAGTGCGTTTGACTGCGTTGCGTCAAGAACCGAAAGCGAGCCACCGGCACATGTGTGCTTCGAATGAAGCATGGAATCCAATTCAAGGAATCATCTTGGCACGCGATATAAGCAGCAGGGATGTCCTGGTTTCTCGCTGCCGCAACGCAGTCAAACGCAACTGCCTGAACCAGGCTTAAGGGTAAACACGACTCCTCTTGAAAATGAATAAATGGCAAACGCTACCTGTAACACCGGCCATTGATCCCCAGACGCCTGCGTGGAAGTCACGTGCATTCCCTCTCGGCCCCGCACGCGGGAATATGATATAAATGACCGGCCGGTCAAATTAAGCCTGACATTCGCCTTCCATAAAATCGGCGAAATAAAATTAAAAGCCGCAGGCGGAGTACCTCGACAAGTTTGAATGAAGTCTCACGCAAGGCGCTACTTCATGACCCAGTCTTAACAGATCTTAATCTGTTTCAACAGATCTGCCTTGTAGATCTCGGCATAGCCCACTAAAAGTGAATTTATATGCACCGTCGACAACGCTGAATTCGAAAGAGTTTTATGCAGGCGGCTTGCTTCAAATATTGCAAACCCCAAGCTATTATCGATATATATATATATATATATATATATATATATATATATATATATATATATATATATATATATATATATTGTTACGGAGATGCGGGGCCGGCAGGAGAAGACAAGGATGTTCACATGATGAAGCCGAATCATTTAATGGCGGCCGGGCCTAGCGCGTGGGCCTAGCGCGCGATAGTAGTGCACACCACTGCCGCAGCGTCGTCTTCTTCATCGTAAGAATATATATATATATATATAGAGAGAGAGAGAGAGAGAGAGGGGGAGGGAGAGAGACCACGCACGATGGTGTGAAGTGCCCGTGTTGTATATATATATACATATATATACAACACGGGCACTTCACACCATTGCACGTGGTCTCCGAGGAGGATATAAACGAACATATGTCAATGAATGAACCGTACTTAATCCAATGAATCAAAGAATCAAAGTTTTCAGGAACCCGCCGAAAGCCAAATAACGGCGGAGCCAGGATTTGAACTCTGGGCCTCCCAATGTCCGGTCGGGTGTGCTAACCTCTTCCCCACTCTACCTTGGCTTACTGGGGTTTTCTACCTGTCTTATTAATGCACAAGAAACGAAATGTATTCAATCGGATGTGTTCTAGAAACACACGCCACCGCGTGGAACGCGGTACGACGCTTGGTGTCATGTGGTACGTGCTCGTTTGTGCTCCAGAAATCCTTCCACTGTTAGTCTCGTCCCGTGCACATGTATTCTTTCTTTATGAGCATTCGAGACACGGTGTCATCAACATCTGTGAGAATGAAGAGCCACGTTATTGAATATACAACACAGGCATCAACGAGAAATGTTTTTTTTTTATAACATTTTCAAAAAAGTTTTTCGAGGCGAAAAAGAAAGGATGATGCGCGAAACAGAAATAGGAAGTGGACAGAAATGCCAAATGTTCCACAGCTAGCCGGTAAATCGCGCCTCTGTGTTCTCTTGTCGTAAAAGCTCCCAAGAGGTTTCACGACAGTCGCAAGTGTGTGAACCAGCCCCAGAGGTTCCACTTAAAGTGAGTCTTGCCTGACCACTCCTTTTTCTTAATGGTTTTCGACAGGATGTTATGGAACGAGATGGACTGCGTGCTGTCGGCGGCAACAGGCTGCCCCCCGTCAACCAGTCTAGCCATTGAGGCAATGCGAAACTACGGCTCTACCCGGCTGTACATCGAAGACTGTCCGAGACCTGGCGGCGGCAACTTGGGACTCGCCTCAAGACCGGAGATGTTCGTCGTCTTGGGAACCCTGCTTGCGTCATTGGCTGGCTCTTTATAAGAAATAAACATTTCCAGGATACCTAATCGACAAAGGCTCTGAGCATATCAGTGATCTCCAGAGCCGCACCGCTCTATACAAATACATCATTCAAAAGACAGGGTATTCGCTGCAGATATGACAAAAGAATCATCTGCGGGCGCACCTCAAGCACCTTTGAATCGTGTCTGCTTCATGCATGCATGTATGGATGCTTCAAACCGGTCTGCAGACAGTGTTTTTCTTAGACGATCTACTATGGTGTCCGAAGGCTACCCAATCAATATTTTGCTACAGCGTCACGTATAATTTTGTTAAAGTAAAACAAAAAGTGCAACTGCTCGAAACCGAAACCGAAACTGCACGGAGGAGGAAGAAGGTACAGAGAAGGGAAGACGGTTTCCAAAAATCACGTGGCTGTGCAACTTTTTTTTCTTTGAATATGCTTGTTGTTTTTCGAAGTTGTGGCTTAAGTATCGTATTTATTTCCTATTTTCATTATTGTGCGTGTGCCTTCGATGACCCACGACTTTGATTATAGTTGGTGGTCGTGTCTAAACCATAGAAAACGGCACGTGACCGCGGAGAAGAGAGTGAGCGCGACACAAACCGGCAAGTACTCGATCGGCGGTTTCCGGGCGGAAAGAAAACAAATGTCGAGCCGCAAATTGTGTTCTGGGCAGTTGGGCTCTTATATGTTACGTACAAATGAAAACCTTGGCGAGCATAAATACCCTGTCGGGGTCCCTTTGAACGGTTGGTCGAAGAGACGTGCGGACTGGACCAATCAAAAGTGAGCGTTTCATCTGCTATACCTTTGTGGTGCGGGCAGAGGAGCAATACTATTTTCTTTCTTCTTGGTTAAGTTTCATTTTGTTCTAAGTCTCCTCTATCTATTTTGTCGTTGTCATGCCTTTGCATACATTCATGGAGGCAAGGATTCAAACGTTTTAACGCTGCAATGCCGAATTAAAATTTATCGTACCAAACGACCCGTGGTCTTCACTTCGCTAGATCTTGTGGGCGTGCATCGGTTGCGGTGAAGAAATCGGAAAGCTTTGCTCCGACCACTGTCTTTGCTGTGTCATGTATGTGGAATCTATTCCCCCTATGGTAATCTACCTTTAAAATAAACAAATAAAATAAATAAACCGGAATAAATTAATACTATTCGTGAAACACGGTACTCCCATTGTTTTGATCCAAATTTAGATTTCATTATTTTTCATTATCCCAGAGTGCGTTCTAGGAAGGGCTGCGATGGAAAAGACCGACGCAAAAACGAGACCGAGAGGGAAAAAAAAAACCGGGAAGTGACGTCACTAGCGTCACATGACCGCGATCATTACATTGCCTGGTCACCTGACAGTCGTCCGCTAAGTTTTGTGGGCGTCATCTCGTTCAACAAGTATAACGCAATTCGTTCACGTGCTATACCTCTCAAAATTGGTGGCCATTTCAATAGTGTCAACGCCGTAAAAAAGGGCTCCTTCGCGCCTGGTGCGTCACTCCGATTGGCTGGAATAAGCGATGGGGGCGCTGGAACTAACCAAGCTGCAATCCTGCAGCTTTTTCCTCATTTTTTTTTTCCCCCAGCGTTTTTGTCACGAATGTATTGATTGTGGAAAAATGAACTGATTTGATTTGATCGCGGGACCGTAGCGACACGCGGTGATTAATATGGCAGACGTCTAGTCTGCTTCGAGCCTCTACATACACCTTTGCAGTCCAGGGAAGCTTCGGTCTGGGACTCCGCGAAGACAGCGTCACTCGCGTTCGTTCCCACTTTTTGCCAGGAGCTCTAGCGCAGGATTTCGACGTCTGGCGGCTTGACGATCGCGGTTTTTGTGACGACCTGTGTTGACACTTCGAGACCAGTCTCGAGGCTGGAGAGGACGCTAATTACACCAGTCGTAGACGCGTTCCAGGCATCGGCAATGCCTGTAAATTCGGGCACTCGAATGGATGATATCCGCATCGCCGCTACCGTAAAAATGCACCCTGAATGGCTTCTATACCTTTATCGCAACGCTGTCGATATCCTCGTCGTAGTACAAAAACAGCCTTCCAACATTTTACAAAACAGTACTTCTGAGATCTACACTCTAAAAAATGCCCGTGCGTCTACTTTCCCCGCACAACACTCGGAGAGCCAATCACCGCAACTTACTGAGTCAGCTGAGCGAATGACGATGCCGAAACATATGTTTAGACCAAAAAACGCAGACTGAGTTGTCACATTAAGCAATGCAAAACGTCAGACTTGCATTGCTTAATGTCGCAACTCAGACTGCTTTTTTCGTCTAAACATATGTTTCGGACATGTCATTCGCTGAGCTGCCTCCGTAAGTTGCGCTGATTGGCTCTCCGAGTGTTGTGTGGGAAAGATGACGCACGGGCATTTTTTAGAGTGTATTGGGTGTACACAGAAAAGGCGGCGTCTTCGAATGCCGCCTTCTCATTGGCTATGTTACATAGAAGGCAAAGCCAGAGATTCCAATGCCCATGATTCAAATGTGCCAACGATGGACAAACATATATACCTCTCCCTGCACCGTGCGACGCCGGCTTCCCCTGACGGATGTACGCGACACGTCAGGATCCGAGTGTAAACGTTGATAAACGTTCTTCCGTCATTGTGACGGAATAACGTTGCAGCCGCTCGGCGACCTTGACATTTTGAAGCGCGAATGCGGCGGAAACGACGGTCCGCTCAATGGCAAACACGTTGATACTCGTAACTCCTCCTTTTATTTCTTCATTTCTACAATTTTGACGTTGGTTTTATTTTTTTTTTCTTTCTATTATAGTCAGCTTAAGAAACGCGGGGCGCATCTGATCATTAGGTTCACGTTTCTTGCTTTGTAATTCCTTCTACGTTGTTTTTTTAATTGATTGATGACGCAATATGAATTGGCTCCGATATCCCGCCCTTAAGAATCTGGAGCGTCCGCATCTTCTGGAAGGCACTTAGCAGAGATAATCGCTGCAATCGCAGAGGTCTCTAGGCGGATGAAGACGCTTAAAATATGTTTACACCCCACCTCCGCCCCCCCCCCCCCCCCTCCCAGAAAAAAAAAGAGGTAAGCGTTGCGGCATTAAACATGCTGAAACGTGATGCTCGGTACCACAGCGCAGGCGGTTTTAACTCGATAGCGTTCAGGCGCTCGTGTCGCAGAAAATCTGTCGTCGGCGTCGGTGGTACCAAAAAATCCCATAATGCAACGCGCGTAGCCACATCGCGCGTATGACGTCACACGTGGCTGTGACGTCACGACCGTATCGACCCGCTGAACTGGGGGGAAAATCTTTCCGCTAAATTTAGCGGAAACTTTAGCAGAAAATTTTACCGCTGTCAGGTGCGACGTCACGCGTCACTGACATGATGTCGCGAGTCATGTCAGTGACGCGTGACGTGATGACGGGAGTGGGAAGGTCCAAACGGGAAGGTTTAGATGGGAAAGGGTCGAAAGGGAACCACCTGCTTCAGAAAAAATGCCCCCCCCCCTCCCCCCCCCCCCCCGATAACCCTCTCTCGCGTTTCAACTCTTCAAAGCAAAGCGTCCTCCGAGTTTTTTTTTTTTTTTTTTTTATTTAAACATGTTATTGTTTAAACAGCGATTGCCTCTCGCAAATGTTTTTCGGCAAAAAGACGCTCCAGTTTTTTTTTATTTGTTTTTTTTTTTTTATTTGAGGTTGGAATTTTTTTTTTTTTTTCGCGAGCTAAGCGTGCAAAAGTCTTAAAACGTATTTTCTTTACGTTTGTGCGGACACATTCAATGACTTTCGTATTAACTGCTTATAAGTACTTTTTTTGTGATCATCATGGCGTAAAAATGCGACCCGAGAAGACAGACACTTAGAACAATTTACTGAATTGTATACACGTTTGATGTAGAAATGTTCACCAGATCAATAATTAACCTTGTTATAGTTAATACCTTTAAAAAAAACGTTTGACCGCGCATAGCTCAATGCTGTTTGTTAATACTCTAATATACGTTATAAGCTTAGATATACATAATTAGATATGTCTATTGCAGGGCTCGCGAGATATACTTCAAAATCATTCGGAAATACAATTCCTGTGATACATATACACCATATTACAGATACAAAAAAAAAATTATTTTATGAAACAGGATATCCCTGATATACTTCTGCAAAAACGGCAAGAAAGTATCCCGGACTACTGATACAGATACATTCCGAGATGAATATTTTTCCCGAACGGTGTTTCGTGCCAGGGGGGCAGTTCGTGACGATTGCAATCGATAATGGATAGTTCATCTGTTTGTGCAGGTTGACGTACCTCCTCTTAGGTCGAAGTCTTTCTCTAATCATAGATAGCACCTCGAATGGCGGAAACATTAATCCGCCCTCTTGAGTGCTTATGAGTCATCCAGGGTGCGAACCAAGGACACGGACCCGCCTGCACTATCTGCGCTGAAACTGCTGCAACATGGGAGAAAAAATGAATTCCTCACACAAGCCATACAAGCTCTCTGCTGTTTGTGATTGGCGGTTTTGTACTCTTGCACTCGCCACCTTTGCAGCGTTCACTCTTTTAGTCTGGAAATAGGGGAGGGATTTATTGGAGGAGCTTATCCTGATAGCTAATTGAGAGTGACCTCTTCTTGAGCCCCATTTGTCTTTAGTTAATTTTCAACTCTTTCCTCAGTTTTTGTGACCCTTCGCCCTGCACCAGGCAGCCATGTTTTCCTGTATTCGACGCGTTCATAATAAACATTCTAGGACTTACTCGCTCCAAAAAGCTGTTTCCAGTTTATCGTAAACAGTCGACGAATGGAACCAGACGCCGAAGACTGGAAGAGTGTTCCGATACAATGGATACATCCTAAATGTAATTCACTACAGAGATACAGGTACACTTTTTAAATGTACCTCGATACAGACATCCAGATACTCGAAGGTATCTCAAAGATACTTTCGCAGTACATCTGTACCGCGATACTGTTTAGTTTTGATCTATTGGTGCCGAATAAACAAATTCCTGCAAATCAGTCGTTATGACAATGTGAACCCCGGAAGAAAGATTAACTCCGACCCAAATATATATATATATATATATATATATATATATATATATATATATATATATATATATATATATATATATATATATATATCTTCCTGACGAAGGCCGAACTCCGGGCGAAACGTCGAAGATTAAATCGTCCGTTGTTGCTGTTTTTCACTAAGGGTTTTTTTCTTCTCAGTTTTATACCCACGCCTTCGGCCTCCCGCCACCATGCCCGTTTTATATATATATATATATATATATATATATATTACCACGTCATTATGCGCTCGAACCAGCAATTAGTGTGGTTCCTCGAATCAATGCAACTAATGGGAAGAGCGATCGGCATTATCCTCCAATAACTACGCAGATTTTAGCGTAAAAGAAAAAAAATGGCGTTCAGCTTCTTTTGTTATTGGACCACAATGTCACTCAAGTCCCTTATTGGCTAATCTGATTTTTTTTAACGATTGGCATCTCTCACATTGCACTTCTTGGTCTAATTGTATCCTCCCAGCTACGTCATTCGCTCGAGTCCCGTTGTTCGTCGTGATTGGTTGTTTCCGTGAGAAGAGAGAGAGAATGACTTTTTCCTAGAGTGCATCCTTGATTGAGGCGCGCGTTAGTAGACAGTTTTCCAGTCATGCAGACAGTGAACACCTCGTCCTCAGTATACGATGTGACTCAAGGGGAGCTTCTGAGAGTTTATAGTTTGCGCCAACAAAGAACGTCTGGCAGATGCCGTTTCCGGCTTTCTTATACGGGCCGGGTTGTACTTCGCAGTCTTTCTGAACCCTCACGCGAACACGCGTGGCGCATGGCTCGCGAGCCGTCGATTCGTAAACGTCGACGAGGTGTCGGAAAGCGTGGCCCCTCTTTGCGGTATAGACGCTTTACACACGCGCCAGATTGAGCCGCCATAGCCGCCCTTCCCTTGTCTTACCGAAATGCCGAGCCACTGAAGCGGGCGTTGACGGGTCTTCACAAGGGCCTATGCTGGGCACAAGAACACAGTAGCATCTAAAATGGCAATAACCTGTCCTGCTGTGGTAATGATGAAGTGAAGCGAACGGAATAAGAGGGAACAAAAACTGAAGGTCAGTTATGGCGGCGCCCATGCACAGATGCTGTAAAGCGTCTATACTCCACCAGCTTGGGAGCCAACACCGTTGGCGAAATACCCAACAGAACAGCACGGACGGCTGACCTGGTCTTCATTTTCCTTCTCTGCGTTATTAAAAGACATTTTCAACAACAGCAACTGGCGAGGAGGGTTGGCTATTTCCGAACCGCGCAACCGCTTCATCGACGGCGATGCGGTGATGCTCCCCAGTGGGCTTCCTCATTTTATTTTTGGGGAGGGCTGGGACAGGAAACAGAAAAGAATCGAGCTCCGTCTCTTCGTGCAACCTGTCAGTTTTTTTTTATTTATTTATTTATTTAAGCCGCAGTTACATTTCCCGTACATTAAACAGAAGGACACGCTGTTCGCTGTTCGCAGAAGTGGGTCTGCATGCACGTGGTCAAGCGTGTACGCGGAGCGCGTTTGCTCCGTTCATACGAATGCTTTCAAGATGTCGGCAGACAGATTTTGTAGGAAAATTTAAAAAAAAATGCTACCGGTCATACAACGAAGAAACACGCCTCAGATGCGGACGGTTTGAGGCGCGATGGGTGACCGTTGTACGATTAGAAAACGGGATTTGCTGAGCTTCATTAGCAGTGTAAGGAAGCTGGGGCGACGGAGGTTTTGCTCCGGGCGCGGACACTTTTAACGTTTCCGGGGTGCGGAAAAGCGTTTCCTGCATTTTCGCAGATCAAGCTTGGGACGGGACGGCCGCACCAGTAGAGATATTAAGTAACGAGATAACTGAGGTGGCGTATCTCTCAGGAGTACTTTTATTTAGTGACTGTTTTATCGAAAGGATTTTTTTTTAGAGATCTGACCCGCGAAACCGAGATGTCCTCGTAGAAGGTTATGCAGTTGGGATAGTTGGTGAATCATCGCATCGGTTAAAAAGCGCTAAAAAGACGACGGACAATTTAAAGGGCGAAGCGTTCTGTGGTGTTCTGTCGTCCTTTGACTTATCTGCCGCTTTTTAGCGCTTTCATCCCATAGATGCCTCCCTGTGCACGTGTCGATGTGCGCCTGCGTGCTTGTATTTGTGTAGTCGTGTCTCGTCGAGTATCTGCCTTGGTCTTGGAGTGTGTGTGTGCGTGTGTGTGTGTGTGTGCGTGTGTATGTGTGTGTATGTTTGTGTGCTATCGCGGACAATATGAGCTGAAGAGTCGTTCATACTTATGTGACATACCTGCCGGCTTCTCAGAGAATTCTGGTCTGAACTCGGAATAGAATGCGACGTTGCGGTTTCATATACTACAGACTATTTGACACATTGGCAAAGGACAGAACACGTGGGGATTAGAGGCACAGAAATGCACGTATCGGGTGCTTCAGTTCATATATTGTACGCGGAGGAGCACGACGGATGCGCGTGTCTGGACATGCGTGTAAGCGAGTTCACGTGGGCTCTTCCACACACAAGCGGTCTTGCGAAACGCGACCGAAATTTTTTATTGAACAAGAACTGAATTCATGGGTAGTCCATCGAGAAAAAGGTCACACGGAAATGTTGCCTCCCTCCATTCGCCTGCACGTAAAGGACTGCAAAATAGGCCATTTTGAAACGTGCGCGCGCCCTGGTAGCTGCCGCGCCCATTATCCGAATTCACCTTTGTTTGGGCACGTAATCTGAGCAAGTATTCGACACGAGCGATGCGTCAGAGATCGGCAGTAACTCGTATCCAGTCACAGGCTTCGTGCCAAAGAAATGGCGGCGGACAATGTCGTCTGATAGACTTTCGAAAACGGTCTATTGCTTCGGTGCTGAACACTCCGAATCAACACCGCTTTCGAAGCAGACGCCAGCCAGCTTTAGCAGATCACGGGGCACTCTTTCGTAACGGCCGTAAAACTTGCCTCCTCCACCCTAGTAAAACAAAAAAGTGCGACATGCAAACGTTTCCTCTCCTACCCGTACACGCCTCCGAACGCCGCTCGAGGTCACTGCCGCGGCCACTACTCTGGGCCTTCAGCTCCCTTCCTTGCTCGCTCACTTCCGGTACCTCACTTCCGGGAATCGATCCCGGGAGGAATGGCGGCGGCGGTAGACAGCCTACATGTAACAGAGGGAGCAACTCCATCAGTGAAAGCGCGTTTGCAATTTAATGGCGGCCGCCTACCCCGCGCAGGTTGCGATCGTGTGCGCATGGGTGCGTTGTCGAGTGGATGGCGGGTGTGAAAAGACGAAGCTCGCAGACGACAGGTGCGCTCGCCTCTTCCTCGCTGCTCGTGGTGTGACCCCCGATTGAGCATTTCCAGAACACTCTCAAATCAAGGCACACTAGCTTCGGTGAGGTAATCGCGTGGATTTGAGAAGAACGCACGTGTCTTATGAGTTTTGCCGTTGGGGGCCGGGCGCCGGTGGAACTTGGACCAGGTGTGTTCGCTCGCTCTTATCGGCACGCGGCGTGGAGTGATTCCATGCGAAAGCCCGTATCGTGCTTATCTGCGTCCATACAAACGCAGAGGTACGGTGACGGAGACGCAGATACTACATCGTGCCGTAAAGGGACGGGTCGAAATTGCGACGACTAAAAATGGTCCCTCTAACCTCGTCCCGGGCGTCGGCGTCTCTTCTTCTCTTCGTGTTTTTGGTCAAGCAAGGTGAGTTTTGATTGGTCATCCTGACCCAGAAATGGAGGGCAATGAGTTCTAAATTACGTCGCTACATTTCAAGTGCACCCCGTAGGAATTAGGTAATTTCTTCAGAAAACAAAAATCTCAATTTTTATTACGAAAATAAAAAAAGAAAAAAACGCGCACCTTTCTGAGTGGGCGTTGTGGCGGATACCGCTATACTCGCTGACAGCTTGAGGAGCACAGGGTGTAGCAAATTCCCGAACATTCCTCTGTCGCTCCGGCAGGTTCCCTCATTTTCCGGCCAGAGCCCCGAGGAACAACTTATGAATCAAGACGAATCAGCATAATATCTCACTACGTCCTGGGCTTCCCAAGTTGTCATTCCAACCTTTCTCTGCGACGCTGTCGTCCGACCACAAGGTCAGACTCCATTCGCTCTAGCGAAACATACGCGCATGTGCCGTGCCGACAGCAGCGCCACCGCAGCGGTGTGACGTCACAAAAAAAAAAGTGTCGAGTCACTGGGCTGTGGACGCGTGCGTATCTGTTACATTTTCTTGTACGTTACGTTGCAAGCACAATGCGGACTAGGTGTGTGCAAAGCTTCGCAAGAAGTGATTGTTTCTGAGAAGCCAACTTCGGCGTGCTAAGAGTGATGTTTGTCTATCTGCTTACAAGTGCTGGGTGCGTCTTGATATTCTAATGCGCGAGTGCCGTATACGTGATGCATGGTTGGAAATAAATATGCAGTTTCTCAAATGGGAAGAATGAAAAGCTCTGCCCTCTGATTTATAATTTTCTGGGTACGGGCGCCTATAATCTCTCTCCAATGCGACGCGTGAGGCAGAAATGAACTCATTGAAAAAGCAAACAAAAGATTTACGCTTTTAAAATGGTTAGCAATTGTACGAGAATGAGAGATGAACGAGAGTGCTCGCGCCCTCCACTTCGACGTTCTGTGAAAACGCGCAACGCTAGGGCACACTCTGAGAAAAGGACTGGTGAGGGGTCCACCTCTCTGGAGAACACGAGACAACGAGTCACGGTGAATAGTAGAATTATCCCAGTTAATAACAAAACTCGAAATATGACTAGACGAAAAAAAAAGTTTGATTCGCACAAGAATAATGAGCATGACTTTTCACCCTCTCGTTATTCCTGTGGACTTATAACTTTTTTTTTTTTCTTCAGATCTCATTGTGCAATCAGTTTTGTTATTTTGTAGCATCGTTCTATTGCTTGCCGTGACTGACCGTTTTTGTTGTTTTCTTTTCATTTCGCCTGAACTTTCGAATTTTTTTGAGTGGACAATTCCCCGATATTGTTTCAAAAACATGGTCGTCAAACACCTCTTTTTCTGTTTAAAAACAATATTAGAATGGACTCGTTATCTAGTGTTATAAACAAAACAAAGCAATTAAAAAAAAAAAAAAACCAAGTGCTACTTTAACATGGCGTTTATCACTGTGCACTCTTAGGCGCTTGCGTTCAACCAGAGTGCGAGTTTCAAGAATTCCACGAGCTCTCCTCGCCGGTCATCTCCTCTCTAAAGTTCAGGGTAACGGGACAACTGAACACTCCTTACATACTGCAACAAGATTGCGAGTAAGTACACAGTTTTCTTTTTGTTTTACCTTCCGGTTGCAAGGACGTTGAAGCATATGTATCCCCCTCAAAAACCTTCACAGAGGCGTCACAAGTGATCGCATTCAATGTCTCTAGACATAGTCCCACATCTCACACATCATAGAAAAGCCAGTCTGCAAACATGAGTCACGTCAATATCCAAGTTTCTTCTTGAACTTATTGCGATGAGGCATCCGAAGCACGGATCTCACGGTGATTCACGTTCGACTCTTGCAGACTGTCTTTTGTATGATGCATAAGCAGTGTGACCTCGGTAACACTGCTTATACATTACACAAAAGGCAGTCTGCGTACAGATTCGAACGCGAGTCATCGCGAGATCCGCGCTTCGAATGCGGCACGGCAAAGAGTTCGAGGAGAACACTTGGCACGCGGCATTCGAACCACGGATATTGGTGTGACACGTGTTTGCAGACTGTCCTTTGTATGATGTGTGAGCAGTCTGACCCCGGATTAAGGGATCGTTATAGTGTATATCAGCCGAAGTAGTTTATCGCATCTGAAAATAATTTTAGTACAAAGTGCGTCATTTGCGTAGAACCGAAAATCAGTTCTACGCAAATAAAACGAATATACCGCTTAATGTCCATCGCACGATTGCGTTCCCAGCGACCTGAAAAACGTTAACCAGCGAGTGGAAACGTTGCTCGAAGGATGTAGCGCTGACAAAGACGAAGATCTGAAGAAACGCATAAAGGGCTTGCAGTTAACCCAGGAATCTTTGTGCGGCAGCGAACTAGAGGAAGGTAAGAGAAATCGGCATTTTTGTTCTTAATCACCACCATGAGCGGAGTTAGACGCTGGCAAACACCGGTTCTTGCTCACGCGCAGTGTTCCCGGCATGCAGCTGTGAACAAACGCACTTGCTTTTTAAACTGTTGTTTCTCCTGCCTGTTTGTGCTTGTGACTCGTAGACCTGAACCTCTGGCAAGACTGTTTCGATGCAAAGGTCTTCGCTGAATGCAAGAAGAACGTCGAGGAGCGGCTGAGGAAGCTGGAACAAGACGGCGCTCTGGACGTTACAGGAGATTACATGTGCAGGTACCCATCTTTGAATGTGTGTCTAAACAAACGCGGGTTTTGGGGTTCATTTTTCGGCACGCATAAAAGAGCTTACATGGCGAGCAAGTTTCTTGTGCTTCGCGACGCGAGGAGAGAGACGCCGATCAACGGACGAAAAAAGTGAATGCCGTTTACAACTCCCTGTAACGCCGAATTAGAGCGCAGCTCTTAAGGAGGAGGAGGGAAGGGTACTGGGGGGGGGTCACGTGAACTTGGGGGGGTCACGTGACGATGACAATGCCGATGATGTCATCTGTGACGTCACTGATGACGTCATCAGTGACGATGACGATGCGGATACCGATGACGTCATTAGTGACGTCACTGATGACGTCATCAGTGACGTCATCAATGACGACGATGACGATGCGGATGTCGGTGACGTCATCAGTGATGATGACGATGCGGATGTCGGTGACGTCATCAGTGATGATGACGATGACGATGCGGATGCCGGTGACATCAGTGACGTCACTGATGACGTCATCCGTGATGATGACGCGAGCCCCCCGGGGGTCACGTGACCCCGGGGAGGGGGGGGGGGCTCGCGCGGTGCATTATGGGACATTTCCCATAATGCACCGCGCGGTTACGCCGACGCCGACGGCGACGCCGCTCAAGCCGGAAACGGGCGACTAAGAGCTGCGCTCTAAAAGAGAACGGACTATAGATCTTTTCCACAAGGGCGCCGCCATCTTGAATTGTCGTCACTTCCAGTATGGGCGAAAACACAACTTTGCCGTTGCCAGGCCAATAGAAGACATTTAGGATATAAGCCTAAACGTCACACATTCTCGTTTTGGCTCCCCTCTATTTTTTTACTGGTTACAGGTTGAAACGTTCTACTATTTTGTCGTCGGCCATACTCGAAGTGACGAATATTTAAGATGGCGGCACCCCTGTGGAAAATGTCTATAGAACGCGCAATGACGCAATGATTGGCTCAGGTAGCGGAAAGGAGGAGGGGGGGACAAAATCACCTGGGTGGATTCGGAGGGTAAACGAACTCACGAGATACGCAAGGAGCAGGCGAACTTGCTCGACGTATATACTCCGTTCATCCTTAAGGGTCGACCGACCAGACTCCAGATTCTGCAAGGCAGAAGATCCTTCTCACCAAGGGGCAGAAGTAAACAGGCGACGGTGGACAGGGTAGAAGGGTGGAGACGAGTAAGCGGGGCAAAAGTGGAAAGCGCGAACTGGCCATCGGCCTTTAAGACCCGTTCACACACTTGCAACCGAGTAGGACCGAATGAGACAAGACCCGTTTTTGAGGCTCTTGCTACCGGTCGTGAGACGTCACAAGAGGCGTAAAGACCGGTCCTGTCTCAGTCCGTTGTAGCCAGACGCATCTGTGTGAACGGGCCTTTAAGCTGAGACAAGCTCCGCCTTCGGCGCGAGCTCGCTGACCTCCGTATGTGCTTTGGTTGCGGGTGCCTGTGCGTTCACACTTGTGTTAGCAAGGGCAGAAAGCTTGCGCTGAAGGCGAAGCTTCTAGTCTCACATTGAACGGAGTATGGAGTACACACTGGACGCCATAGTTGAGTGCGCCGTTCACCGCGCATGCGACCTGGCCACGGTGGACCTGGCAAACACAGGCTGTCAAGAGCCGCAGTTTTGATGGTGCGGAATGTACGTTGCCAAACTAGTTACTGAAACTCCACGTCAGTACCGCAATCAGCAACCACAGACTCAGAGATTGGCGCCGGTGAATACTCGCTGTAATCACGGACACCTCAACGCGGGGCGGGTCGCATCTGATTAACGCTCCACGGCCAATGCGATTGAGGCACTGGCCGACAAGAACGAAAAACGACGAATCCCGAAGCACTAGGAACGTGAACGTTAGACGTCGGGCGCTGCCTCTCTTATCTCGATGAGTGTGTGGTTTTTGCACGAGACCACGATGCAAGGCTCTCTATATCGCTTCAAAAATCTCGCCGGAACCCGCCGGAATCCATGATAGAGGCATTTGTCGCTCTTATTCTATGTTTTGCGTGCTTTGGGGCCGTGTTCGCGCTGTAGTTTGTCCGATCACTCGAGTGATCGTTCACTCGAGTCAGTTGCTCCATATTTAAATGTTCTAGCCGTAAAAGACGGCGAAAAAGTGGAGCTGCGGCCGGGAGTATTGTGTGTTTTTCTATTTTTATTTAGAATTCCTGCAATTATTAGGAAGTTAGAACCAGCACAAGGCGACGCTCGAGCAATCGGCTCGCCGACGTCATAAATGGTTCCTACGGATACGCCGGCACAATCTGGACAGAAAAAGTTCGACCTAACTAAAGGTTTGTGGACTGCACCTCGTGCTAGGTGAGGAACCTCTCTGCGATTGACTGGGACAAGTAAAGCAGACGAAATTACTTCTGTGGCAGCTCCAGTCTTCGTCTGTGAGCCAGTCAAAAAGTTGGAGGACCCGTATGGGTGCTGACAAGTTTTGCACAATATCACCCAGTGATTTCACGTGTACGTAGCAGCACTAAATTTCTCGTCAGTCACCGGAAACGATTAGCAGACCACGCATCTTTCGCCGTCCGACGGTACTCTCACGAGGCGTCCACGTGCCGTACGACGGCACTCCGCGCGCGCATTGAAGTGCCGATCGAGGATGTTAATAAACCCAAGTCACGCTTGTTCTGACATGTGTTCCATCGGCAACTCGCCCCCAATTTGCTTTAGCCTCAAACACGAGCGAGGCATACGCCAGGGCTTTCCGGCACTACTGCTGCCGCTATAAGACGCTAAGTGCCTCCAGCATGGAGCCAAGGCACTCATGGCAGACGACAATGTTGGTTTCGATTCTGAAGCTAACCGAAAGTTCGCCTGCTTTTGGTACAGTGGTTGCGATGATGTCTGAACGCCAAGCCCTTATTGGCTGATTGAAAAAAAAACAATAGTTGGTAGACCCAACACCTCCTAGATAACGAAGCCGTGGTGGTGATAGAGATGTCATCATCAGCGAAGGTCAAAGATGGTCACAGATTGGACACGACGATTTCGTAAACGTTCGGCTCCAACTTAACTCGAAGCAGAGCGCTGACGCAGCATTTGTTACCAATCTGTGCCCAGCGTTGAGGCTTCGCTGGTGGCGCAAAAATGTCAGCACTACGGCCTTGTCTTCTAGGCGGCACTACGGCCTTGTCTTCTACATCTAGCATGGCAGCACTACGGCCTTGTCACTACGGCCTTGTCTTCTACATCTAGCATTGAGGTCTGCCCATATATCCTTTCAATCGGAGCCAATCAGAGCTCGGCGTCGTTCTGACGTCACCGCAACTCCTGCGCAAGAAGCAGACGACTTACCCTGCGCATATGCGCTCTAAGAAATCTGGAGCGTCTGCCCTCTCGCAGAGTATTTTGGGAGAACCAATTCCTGCAACCTACGGGAGTGTCGCAGCAATGAGTGTCTTGTATACTACCATCGCAGTTTGTAAGACACTGAGAGTACATTTGAATGTCGCAGCTATAGGGTGTTTCAGTGACGTAATTCCATCCAACATTTTGTTGTTGTAAGCTGTATGGCGTGTGCCAAACTCGAGCATTCCAAGGATTTACATGACCCCTCAAATGCGTAGAGCACAAAAGCTTATGTATTACCACGCTGACATCTTTTCAACCGGTTGCGATGCAATCCTTTAAATTTGTCAATTTGTTTGGAAAAACAAACTAACAACACAAGGGCGGATTGACGTCATGTGCAAACACCCTATAGAGTACGCGCCGCAGAAGCCAACGGTACGTGCATGTACACCAACCGACCGAGTGCTTAGCGAAGGCTTTCACAACATGAGTTTTCCCGTTCCCGCAGAAACTTGTCGCTGAGCTTCCAGTGCGCACTGCAGGCAGGTGCAGGTTGCCCCAAGAAAGCGGAAAGGGCCAGGAAGGCCGTGGAAAACTACATCAACGCTCTCATGGACACGTCAAGGTGTCGGAGACCTACCGGTAAGTCAAACATCGTATCGTACGATGTCGCAGATTTTCACGCGAAGTTCTGTTCCTGGAACGCTTGTCCGAGCGCCACAACACCCGTCGATGCAAGAACGTCAAGAGAGTTCGCAACTCCTCCACGTGGGAGGAGTTGCGAAGGGATCGAAGGGGTGACCGCGAAACGCGGGAGGAGGAGGACAGTGTGGGTCAGGGGGTGGGAGCAGTTCGTGAGTTAAGAAGTTGAATAAAGGCCTGTTCACACACTTGCGACCTCTTAGATCCGAGTGCCTTGGAACCTCTTAATATCTGTTACGACGAGAGGACACACTGGCGCCATATTTTGGGTAGCAGTGTAAACCTGGCGGTCCGGCATATTTTCTATTATTTCACTCATTATCCTTTTAAAGCGGAGCTGTTAAGGGCTAGGTTCCCCAGGATCATGTCCGTGTATGTCGACACAAACCTACTTGGACAGCTACCGCCATCTATAAGCGACGGCGGCAAACACACAATCAGTACGGTTCCCGACGTCGCTCGTAGATGGCGGCAACCTTTCCAGCTATAATAGAAGAATGGAGAGTTGGGCGCGTTGGTGGGAATTCATCGTAGGAAACAGCGCGAAAAACAGACGACGACGAAGAAGAAGCACACAGTGTGTCAAGGACAGCTCCGCTGGTCTTCCTTCCTCACGAGAGTGGAAAGGCTCATAGGCACATTTGGCTTCGGACTACCGCAAAAACTTCGCTCTTGTCAAATGCAG